TGGCCGTGCCCTTGATGACTTCCAGGCAGTGGTGCAGCCCATGCTGGCTGAGGCTGACATTGCCACCACCGTCTTCGTCACTGGTGAGTCCATGAGCAGCTCCTCCTCCTCCTCCTCCTCCTCCTCTCTTCCCTGGGATCCTGCCTGGGCCTTGCCACATGAGGACAGCTTCCTGCAAGGGCCTCTGACTCTGCATCAGCACTGCTCTGGGTCCTGCAGAGCAGCAGTGACTGCCTTGCCTCCTGCATCACTGCCTGGGCTCACTGTCTGGGGCTGGGGTCACCATCTGGGGCTGGGGTCACCATCTGGGGCTGGGGTCACCATCTGGGGCTGGGCTCACTGTCTGGGGGGTGGCAGCAGGAAGGGCAGAGGGATGGATGGAGGGTGATGCTCCAAATCTCTCCCCTCTCCCCAACAGAAAGAGCGCACCATGCCCATGAGAAGGTGCGAGACGAGGACCTGTCGCAGTGGGACACCTTGGTGGTCATGTCTGGGGACGGGCTGCTCTTCGAGGTGAGGGGCAGAGCTGGGGTGCCTGGGGCAGGAGCCAAGCTCTGAGTCACAAAGTCAGGCTGGGAATGGCAAAGGAGAGATGGCACCAGGCTTGGAGCAAAGCAGCCATCACCCCTGTCCTGCCCTGGGCAGGGGCACTGTGGGCTCTGCTCCCCCCAGGCTGGGCAGGGGCTGCTGAGTTCCTTGGGTACCACGGGTCCTTCATCCCCACAGGTGGTGAACGGGCTGATGGAGCGTCCAGACTGGAGAGAGGCCATGAAGAAGCCGCTGTGCATCCTGCCAGGAGGCTCTGGGAACGCCCTGGCTGCCTCTATCAACTACTATGCAGGGTGAGTGCCAGCCCCGGGGCACCCACTGCCCCCTGCGGGAGGAGAGCGGCTCTGTGGGGCTGCGGGGCTGCGCTGGAACCAGGCGAGAATGAGGGAAGAGAGCGGCTCTGTGGGGCTGCAGCCCAGGGAAGGGAGCTGGGATGCCCAGGGGTGCCTGGCAGGGCCCTCACTCCCCACAGGCTGGTGCAGCACCGCCCCAGCTGTGAGCAAGGGATTAATCCCTGTGTATCCAACTCCCCCCAGTCCCTTTCTCTGGGCTCAGGGACTGCTAAAGCTTTAACCCAAAGGACCCACCCAGGCACAGCCAACCCCAAGGTGTGGGGGATCAGGATTGCCCTGGCTCGGTTCCCTCTTTCATGAACTGGTTTATCCCTCCCATCCCCAGCAAAACGACTCCCAGCAGCTGTCCCTGAGGGACACTGTGACCCAGCAGGGACATGTCCCAGCCATGACACAAGGGTGAGGTCTGCAGGTGGATGCTGGGGCGGCAGGAGAGTTCCTGAGCTCCAAACTCACTCTCTCCATCCCTCACAGCTACGACCACGTCGCCAAGAAAAAGCTGCTGACAAACTGCACCTTCATCCTGTGCAAGGGGCTGTACACGCAGATGGACCTGGTGTCGCTGAGCACGGCCTCGGGCAAACGCTTCTTCTCCTTCCTGGGCTTTGGCTGGGGCTTCATCTCGGACGTGGACATCGACAGCGAGAAGTACCGCTGGCTGGGCAGCGCCCGCTTCACGCTGGGCACGCTGCAGTGCCTGGCCAAGCTCAGG